TGTAGCGGCCAATAAATACGGACTACACGTAATACCAAAAACTACCCTTCCATGCCGATACAGTTCAACTTGTTCTTGATTATCCCTACTGAACCACATAAATCTCAAAAAGTCTCGATCTTTTTCCCTTATAGATATTTGCAAGAACGCTTTTTCTATATCTGAAGTGACACCAACGTAATTCTTGCGAAACCGATTAAGAATCGAAGGTATAATTTCTATTAAATTTGGTCCAGTAGATAAACAATCGTTCAATGATGGGTAACCAGGCGAATGAGAACTTGCATTAAACACCGGTCTTATACTCGTGCTACTATTTTCTTTAACAACTGCTCTATGAGGTAAATAATGTACACCCTTATATTTATGCTCATCCGGTACTTTTTCAATTATCCCGAGTGCTAACCAGTTCTGGAAAATGTCTCCGTAAGCGTCAAAATTTCCCGTAGTCATTAATTTCCTTTTAGTACTTGCAAGACATTTTTCTGCTATCACTTTGTTTTCGGGTAAAAGCGAGCTTGCTACTTCGTACCTTCCCTCTGAATTTACCGAAGAGTCTCTTCAAAATATTTTTGCGTATCCTCCTGTAACTGAGTTTTGGTTTTACTTACGGAAGGTTCACCAATACCCAAAACATCTAACTTCCAGAGATCACTTATACATTGACCCTTCACTAACAGAGAAGAAATTAGGAGGGATGCAGTATTTATCGTAGTTGGCTCAGTGCCAGTAAATTTACCCATAACAGTCCAGCCTAATTGCGTATGCACCGCGCTGACGCCGCACGTAACGTAAGGGGAACAATTTTTCCAGTTAGCAACTTACCAGCAAAATCCGCACCAATTAGTAATTTTATCTCTTTATCTACCTTACATGTACCATTTTCTAAATCACTTAATTTGATACCATGTGACTTAAGTTCGCGTAACCACGAACCAGATGGGAGTTGCTTAATTTCAGAACAAATTTTGTTTTGACCAAGTACCTCTAATTTACACTTATATTTACTATATATATTTCTTACTTCAATAACATAGTTTTTATATACATTTTCTGAAGTCTCAACTCCACCAAAAAGAAATTGCTTAATTTTTGATTCACCAATACACTTACAATTTAACCTTTGAGCAACATCATTACATAAATATGATTTCATAGAACCACTATCATAAATTGCTCGTACAAACATTTCTTTAGAACCATTCTGAATTTTTACAATTAAAGTTTGAAGATATACATCTGATACCTTAACATAGTTATTAAGAATGCCTGTTTTGTTTTCGTCATTCCCTAACTTTGTGACACTTTTTGTTTTGTTAGAAGGCAAATCAGGGCACATAATCACAAAATGTCGATTTTTACATAAGGTACACCTATGTTTAGCTGTGCACTGATTTGCTCTATGGTTTTTCTTAAGGCACACAAAACAAACATTCTTTTTCTTAATAATATCTTTCTTACATTCTAAACTCATTAAAGATGCATCTTTACAACTTTCAGACAAATGGGATTTTTCACAAAAAATACAAGTATCAGACTTTTTATACTTTTGAAAATTATCATTACACTTACTACTATTTGCATTAATTAGTTCACATGCAGTTGGAACAACAGGTTTTGTGTCAAAAAACTTATTTTTCTTATTACTTACTTTATCAGAACCCAAAACATCACGGGTAAGTTTAACTCTAAATTCAGTTTCTACTTCCCTTTTTAGAAAATCAATTAATGACTCTAAATCACTCTTACCTGTTGTTTCAGGAGACATACCTCGTTGTCTTTCCCAAATTTGTATTAAATCAGCAGGAAGTGCTGATTCCACTAAAGGAAATAAAACAACTGCAAATTTATCTTTAGTTAAACCGAGTGATTCCAATGCGCGTAGTTGAGTTTGCAACTTGTCATAAAGAGTTAATAAGTCTATCTTTTGTTTGTCATTGATTACCAGTTTTAATAGCTCTCTAACATAAATTTGAATTAAAACATTTTCATTTCCAAATCGTTCTTTGAGATACTCCACGGCTTTTTCGTAATTTTCTTCCGTAGCAGGAAAACTCTCCACTATTGCTCTAGGCGCAGTCTCAGGTTTCGTAGATTGTAGTAGATAATGAAACTTGTCTCTCTTGTCGATGCGAGTATCTTCATGTATTTTACTAAACCTTGTCCAAAACGTCAACCACTTTCGGGAGTCTCCATCGAACTTCACCAGTTCGATCTCTGGCAATTTCTGTTTTGCGGCCTGTAACTATTCCTGATGAAGAACCGCTATTCGTTGACCCAGTAGAAGGCTGTGAACACTTATCCTTTTTCCTGTTGGCTTTTACTTTCAACGTAGATAATTTATCGTAATATTCTTGAGCTGCACTAAATTCTCTTTCGTATTCTTCTTCAGTACAGCCTTTTTTCTGTAGAAGTTCCAAAAAAGAGTCATCCGTATTTCGTAAAGTTTTATACTTCTCTGAAATTTGATCTAAATAAATTTCTAAATCGTCCAAATCCGGAGAATCTGATCGTATCAGTTCATCTAACTTATTAGCTGTTTTCGTAAATACACTCCTAATTGCTTTCCGCTTCTGTTTTAGTGTTTCTAAATCATCCATGTTTGCACCTAGGAACTTCTCTTATTTTCGTAAATTATCAAGTGTCGAAATCGATAATGTCACCCTGTGACATTCATCCTGGCTGGCTCGCCAAATTTGTTGCTTAACAAGTAAATCATAGGTTCGAAAATCTGAGCCGACACTTTTTAAAAACACCAACATTTATTTTCACGACATTTCTAATTCTACAAAATCTTAAGTGCAACTAACTATCAAACAGAAAAGCAGACGTAGACGTAATGATGCATCATCTGGGCACGTGATCCTCGTGACAGACGAATTCTTTTGGGTTGCCACAGAAAGGCAGTGTGTCGCCACAGGCAATAATAAAAGTAAAGAGATTAATGTTTTGTTAGATAATGCGTCACAGAGATGTTTTTTGAAAAGAGAAGTAGCCGTAGAATTGACAAGACAAGAATTAGACAAGAAAGTCTAGCTGTTTACACTTTCGGCTGAGAGTGCCAATACAAAAAACGTATGACGTAGTTCGGTTTTCACTTTGTAATTTATGTGATTCGGACAAGAAAATAACGATTGAAGCACTTTTGACTGACTGTATTTCTGGATCGCAGTTTAAAGTATCACATAACAAATTAATGCAAATACTTTCGAGGAAGAAAACATTCAAGTTGTCAAACTTAAGTAAATCGTCAGGAAATGAATTGTCTCTGCTTATTGGAGCACAGTATTTTTGGGATATTCATACGGGAGAAAAAACAGCGATTAAACAAATCTTTGTATTTGATTGATACTCTGTTTGGAAGGGTTGTTCAAGGTCGAATCCCTCCATCAGATTTAAATGCGAATCGGGATATTTCTATTATGAAAATTGAATGTTGCGCCGCATTAAATGAAAAACTAACGCAGTTTTGGCAGTTAGATTCAATGGGGATAAATGATACTCACAGTGGAGATTTTAAATTTAAAGAGGAATTTATTTCTCAATTCGAAAGTAATTTAAAATATGAAAATGGAATGTATACAACTAAATTATTCTGGGACGGTAAACCAGAAAACTTGTCTAACAATTTCGCGGTAGCAAAACGAAGATTTCGTAACTTAAGTGTAAAAATGAAAGAAAATGATTGGGTTTATAATGAATATAAGAATATAGTTAAGGAGCAATTAAAACTGAATATCGTTGAAGAATGTCCTTTCGGCTTAGAAGAGAATTCTTATTATATGCCTCATTCAGCTGTAGTAAGATCGGATAGGGACACTACGAAAGTCAGATTGGTTTTCGATGCATCGTCAAAAGGTAATGGGTGCAAATCTCTTAATGAATGCTTGAATCCTGGGCCACCGTTGAATCCCAGAATTTTGGATGTAATCTTGCGATTTCGCGAATATGAATATGCATTCAGCTGTGATATTCAGGGAGCATTTTTGACCATAGGAATAGCGGAAGAGGATAGAGACTATTTACGTTTTTTCTGGTTTCCAGATGAAAGTGATTCAAAAACTTACAAAATTTTACGAATGACTCGCGTTCCCTTTGGAGTGACATCAAGCCCATTTATCCTTGCTGCGACTATTAAATACCACATTAGAAAATATAAACTTGAACAAAGCGAAACTTGTGAAATGCTTGACTCGGCACTTTATGTAGATGATCTTTTTTACGGAGCAAATACAATAGAGAAAACTTTAGAACTTTCACAGAGCGCTGTAAAAATTCTTAAAGATGCGAACATGAATTTAAGAAAATTTAATACTAATTCGGATGAGTTGATGAGAAATTTATGGAGCAATATAATTATTCGGATGAGATGAGAAATTTATGGAGTGAACGAGGTTTGTCTGATTTGACAGAAACTAAAGAACGTCCTTTGAAGGTTTTAGGCATAATATGGAACACCGAAGAAGATACTTTTAAGTTAGATGTAAAACCTCTACTGGACATGACCTGTGATAGGAAGAATTCAAAACGTAGTGTACTTCAGACAGCTTCGAAGTTATTTGATCCTATGGGAATTGCATCACCTTTTATTGTTCTCATAAAATTATTAATGCAAGAAATATGGGAACTTGGTTTAGGATGGGATGATGAGCTATCAACTGACTTGAAGAAAAAATGGGATAATTGGTGCTCTCAGATTTATCTGTTGAAAGATTTGACAATCGAAAGAAAATATTTCTCCATACCATGGAAGTTGGTGAAAGAATTAGAACTACACATATTTTCTGACGCTTCTCCTAAAGCTTTCGGAGCAGTTGCGTACTTCCGTTACGTGTCAAGTGATGATTGTATTTATACAAGTTTTATCACTGCGAAATCTAGAATCGCACCGCTTAAAAGGTTGACATTACCGAGGCTTGAACTTATGGGAGCTGTTATTTTCTTCTAGACTTTTCCAATATTTGAAAACAAATTTTAAATTTCCTGTGTCTAGGGTATATATGTGGACAGATTCCTTAATCGCTCTTCATTGGATTAAAGGGAAAGCTTCAAAATGGAAACCTTTTGTATCGAACCGTGTATCCGAAATCCAGTCTAGAACTGATCCTGCTGATTGGAATCACTGTAGTGGGCAGGATAATCCTGCAGATTTCATATCTCGAGGAGCTACCGTGGAAAAGTTTATGTCCAGTTCGATTTGGATGCAAGGTCCAGAATGGCTTCGGTTGAAGAAAAGGGATTGGCCAAAAGGCTCTAATTATGAAATTTGTCTAGAGATTTCTCCAGAAGTATATTGCGAAAAAAGAAGTAAACTGGAAGAAGTATCGTCTTTTGTGTGCGAAGTGCAATCGAATTTGACACATTTAATGGATTTGAATAGATATAGTAGTTTAAGAAAATTATACCGTGTTACAAGTTGGATACTACGATTTATATACAACCTTAAATTTAAAACTAAACGATGTGGTGAACTAAGCACTGAAGAACTTAACGAGGCTGAAATTATCTGGACAAAAACTGTTCAAAGTGAAGCTTTTGCGGAAGAGCTGTCCTCTTTGAGACAGGGTAAAACAATTTCTAAGACTTCCTCTATTCTAGAACTGAATCCCTTTCTTAATAATGACGGGATAATGCATGTTGGTGGAAGACTTCAGAAGTCAAGACTTTCTTACCTTCAAAGACACCCAATTATTATGCCCTCAAAACATCACTTTGTGAATTTATTAGTGTGGGATGCACACAGCAAAGTGTTTCACGGTGGAAATTCTGAAACTTTTATAGAAATACGCGAAAGGTACTGGATAATTAAAGGAAGACAAACTGTTAAAAATATCTTAAGAAAATGTATTCTGTGTAAATGATTTAATTCTTCTCCTGGTGTGCAAGTTACTGCTCCTTTACCAGTAAATAGAACAGAAGCATTACCTTCTTTTTTCTGTAGTAGGTATAGATTTCGGTGGACCACCTTATGCCAAAGACAGTGATGAGAAAAACTACATCGTGTTGTTTACTTCTGGAGTAACGCGAGCTCTTCATTTAGAGTTTGTTGGCAGCATGACCACAGAAACATTTCTTCTTGCTTTTCGACGATTCATTGCTCGTCGAGGTCTATGTTCTCAAGTTTTGACGGACGATGCCAAAACTTTCAAACGATCGGAACTTAAAAAGTTGTGGACTGTCATTAGTCATCCAACAGTAAAAGACTTTTACGCCTCCCACAAAATCTAATGGTGCTACATCGGTGAGAAAGCTGCGTGGTGGGGTGGCTTCTATAAAAGACTAATTAAATCTGTAAAACTTGCTTTATGAAAATCTCTCAGAAAAACTACTTTATATCGAGACGAGTTAGAAACTCTAATTATTGAAATTGAAGGTGTTCTTAACTCTCGTCCTTTAACTTATGTTTATTCTGAATTACAGGAACCTATGCCTCTAACTCCAGCTCATATGCTATTGGGGCGCAGGGTGAATAGTTTGCCTCCTGCCAGGCTTCATTTTGATTCTAATTTAGTTAATAGGAAAATGCTAATTAAAAGATTTAATTATCGAGAAAGATTGGTAAGTATGTTTTGGAATAAATGGAAAAATGAATACTTATTAATGCTGAGATCTGTTCATTGTGTTAAACCTTCAGGTAAAATTACTGAATTTAAAGTTAATGATATTGTATTAATTCATGATGAAAAGCTACCTAGACATTTTTGGAAATTAGGAAGAGTTGTTGTAACAGTATTTTCTGGCAGAGATGGAAAAGTAAGGTCTTGTGAAATTAAAACAGGTACATCAGTTATTAAAAGACCTGTGCAGCTTTTATATAATCTTGAAATAAATGAATAAATTTAATTGTTTATTATATGTTTATTAATCTGTATTATTGTTACAGGACTATTCCATATATGTGATGAAAGTTTAATGTATGTACAGGTATTGAGTTGCCAGCTTATTATCTTTATTATACTTTATTGCAGGTAACTTTACAAATTGTTTAAAGATGAATGATTTGTTTATATAGTAAATAAGTGTAGTTCTTTAATATGTGAATTGATTGAACTTTACATTGTAAAAGTTTCCTTTGTTAAATTTGTATTAATGCAAGTGTTTGAATGAACCCCTGGTCATTCGGGGGCAGTCTGTAGAAACTGTATTGCACCAGATGGCGCTGTGTGTGCTTAAATTCTTCGGACTAGTTCAGAACCTTGACGATTGCGAAAGATGTAACACCAGTGCGAAACATTAACCAAAGTTTATATGTGCCTCTCTTTGTTGTAAATGTATTTAATTGTGTCGTCAATAAAATATGTAGAAAATGATAAAAGGCGAGAATGCGTCTGACAGGTAAGTGAGATTTCTTTATATATTGAATTGAATTGAGTTTTAGCGACAAAGAATGTATGTATATGCGTTACACAGTCTTGCTAACAATGCAAAAAGGTACATACAAAAAGCTACATTAAATTAGAAAACAATGCCTAAATATAATTGATTTCTATGAACAAGTCTGATATTAACTATATCTAACAACATTAAATTTAACCTAGCTGGAAATGTTTCCTAGACGTGTCGTAAGGAGAAACTAATAATTATACTAAGTTTAACTCACATGGAAATATTTTATATACAATGTAGACTTATCTTCCGAAGAAACCAATTCTATTATTTTTGATAGACATTTTTTAAATAGTATTATAAAATATAGTCAGCTTGAGAAACAATAACTAAATGAAAAACCACCTTGAGACATTTAAAGTTTCTTATATTCTGAAATCCCTATCAAATATTTATTAGTATATCAGTTATTTGAGATCATGAAAATGGCATATGAATGATGACTTTGATTCTATTGACTTCATTCGAAGGTGTATGCTTAACTCTTTGAAAGGTGAAAGAACAGGCATCGCGCTTTACCCGTACTAAAGCCGAAACAAACTTGCGGCACCAAATTTGCATACATTTATGGTTTGGCATTTTGATGTGAAACACGCGTAATTATTTAGATCAAAAAAGCATGGGAACATCTATTTAGTGAATAACAAGTTACGTAACAAAATGAAATATCCATCTTTCAATGATTGCATAAGAATGCTTTGTTTGTTCATCGAATATCAACTCCGTAATTTTACAGTTATTCTACAGTTACGGATATGTAATATTTGGGAGAATTAGCCATTATCACAAAAGAAAACTCAGGCTCATCTAGTCAATAAGCTATTCACACCGATTTTCTTGGAGAAGTAGTGGAACTTTCTTGGAAGCGCGTTACTGTGCCTGAGGAACTGAACTTACAGAAGTGTTGCATAGTTGAAATTCCTCGTGTCACATTAGAACTGTCCCTGTAGTTCCCCTAAGATATGAGTATTATGATCGGTCTATTTTTCTTTGAAAAATTTAATGCAATGGATGTACACTTGTACAGCTCCAGCAAACACATTAAAAAATGATGTAATTCCAACCTATATTTTGTGGATGTCTTGATGCAAGTGTTCATATATGCCCAAATACCGTTTTTCCAAAGGACAGGTTGTGACGTAGAAGGTTTCGCAATATATCAAGATCAGTGACTCAATCCTATACAGCTAGTCATTGATATCACAGCTCTGAACGCTTAGGCTCTGAGGTCACGTAAAAGCTGAATTCACGTCTGGACGGGATTCGTCACATGGATGATTTAAAAGTCAAAATTATATGACATATGCGACAGGTTTCAAGGTAACATTTGCTTACTCTGTGGTTAAGAATGCCTTATTGTACCAGCTATTAATTTCGCCAATATTTTGAACACTTTTAATGAAGACAAAGTTTGTCAATTAACACCTCTGCAGCAGTCATGTCATCTTATGTTAGCTGTATTTAAATAGTTTGTTGAAAGTTGCAATATAGCAACACTTTGTTCAAAACCCTAAGTAGCGATAAATGAATTTAGCTAAGATTATCCGTCGAAGATCGTTAAAATCTGGTTATGAGTAATTTACAAATTAAGAAGCATTTATTTCGAGTGTTTAATAATGCCTACTCAATAAATGTCTATCAACGTAACATGAAATAGGTCTAAACATCTATTTCGATTTCGTTTGCAGTATTTAGACTTGTGAGTGCATGTGTATGTTATATATATAAATATATATAATGTGTGTGTGTGCGTGTGCGCGCGCGCGTCATAAAAATAGAAAAAGACGTAGTAGCAATGTTATTTGTCGTAGAACGTAAATCCATGTTAAAGAGGGAAATCATGTTTGCGTCGTAATAACTAAGAAGCTAGGCAGTCGAGGCGGATAAAACTCCATTTTTATTTAAATTGACATATGCGTCCACAATTCACTTGGCATTCTAATCATGCCTATTGAAGAACATTTACATTTTTGATACAGTTGTGGTAGGAAGAGAGCACAACGAAAGAGCTTTGAAGCAGCACAGAGGTTCAAGCTAAGTGCGCATTTAATCCATTACGGTAGCTTACCAAGAGGAAGGTTTTCGATTTAGGTTAGAAAAGTTTCAGTTCTCAAAGTTTTAAATTTCAAATTAGGTATGTCATCGGCGTAAGGAAAGCAATGTATCATACGTTGATCTAGAAATAATGCAATTCAAGAAAGTTTTGGAATTTTTAGAACACAGAGAGGAAAAACTAAAATTAAAAATGAGAAATTAAAAGCCTATTGTTAAATTGAATTAAAAAGCTGATTTACATGTTTTTATCTTATATATATATATATAATCTTTCAAATTATTATTATTAATATTGCTATTTACTATTAATGGAATTCTGCAGTTATTTTGCAATGTCTAAGTATCTGATATTCCTGCGCTACCTTTGTACTTGTCCAAAACTCTGATGAAAAAGGCTTTAGCTCTATGTGTGTTGAGCAAGAAATAAAAGCTGCTTATCCAGAACTTCTTTGAGAAATGAAAACTGAATGATGAATTAGGAGACCGACTCCGTAGGCTGAGTAAATTTATGTTTGGAAACTGCTGCCTTATATCACTGCTACTTTACGTTTGCTGACACATGTAGATATTTTCTACAGATCATTTTTACACTTTAACATCAAAAGTCTTAGTTAAATATTAAAGAATTGTATTTTCCGTTTCAGTCAGAAATAGGGATAACATTTTGTACTTGCATAAGATATGAAGTCAATCGCAGCCAAAACAATGTTTCGCTTTGCTTTTTATTACTATACCATATGAAGAAAAAGAAAAACAGATATGCAGCGGTTGCTATCAAAAGGAAAAGTAAATGCATTTGTGTAAGCAGTAAATTTTACAAGGAGATATATCGGAATGAAATGCAAGACAAGATAAAGAAAGAAAAGACTTCTAAATAAAACCTTGGATATAATATAAAACAATGCACAAAACAGAGGAACATATAAGAAGATATAATAACAAGATGATACCTGTAAAAGACATTTCGGCACAGAAATTCGGAACTAAAATCGAGCGATTTATTAAGTATTGTTATTCGCATTTTTAAGCAATTAATAGGTCTGATTAAATCCTATTCAATTTACGTTTCTACAAAATGTTACTTTTTTTTATATTTAGAAACCGAAAGGCTACATTTCAGAATGGAACGTTTTTTGTTTTCTTAAATTAATTTATACACTGCATGTCATTTATTTTTAAAAATCTGCATCAAATTTTATTTACTTTATTGTGTTGTTCAAAATTCGAAGGCGCTAACTATAATTTGCTAAGTTACTCACTTAAGTAATAGGCTGAATACATTTAGAAAGAGAGGTACTTTTGCGTGAATTCCCATATTAATTAAATTCGTTAGTTTACCTTATAGAGACATTAGGTTTTTGGGAGCAGGAGACTTAAAAAATGAGAAATGCCCTCGCCGGGATTCGAACCATGGACCTCTCGAATACGCGCCGAGCGTGCTGACCATTACATCATGAAGGTATGCTACGAAGACGGGAGAAATACCTTCTATAATCCCCCCTTTTAAAGGACGACTGGGGATTAGGGACCCTGTCACCAAATCCTGGTGGTGGAGAATCATCATCCATCACCTTTTTTAGTTCGGGCCCCACTGTAGAGATTGTAGTTTATTTCAAAGCAGGAGAGATGAAAATTGAGCAATGCCCTCACCAAGACTCGAACCGTGGACCTCTCGAATACGCGCCGAGCGTGCTGACTATTACACCACAAAGGCATGCTAAGAAGGCGGGAGAAATATCTTATAATCTATTTAAGGCAATTACTCGAGAAATATATACTTAGATGAAGAAAGGCGTCTTGGTGGGCTTCCTAAAAAATTTAGTTTACATGAGCATTATACATAAGGAAAACTACGAAATTTCAATGCAGTCAATCTATTCAACAGTTAGAAATCGAACCAGTTTTAATTATTGACACGTTACAAGTTACTGCAAATGATTTTTATTATATTTATTTCTTATGAGTTTGCTTCGAATGAATATGTAATCCACAGGCGCTGATATGATGAGGCGATGATGAAACTAATGTCAGTTCATTTCGTATTCGATCTTCGATCGTTCAGTGGCTTAGCTTTATAAGAATTTCGTAGTTATCCAAATACGTAGCTTGAAGATGAGCCAGTTTCTCTCTGATAATCTTCTGTTCAAGCATATAGAGAACTACCGAGTACCTTTCTTAATAAGTAATATAACTCATTTCAAACCTAAGTTCAACATCTCAAATCCATCCGAAACTGAGAAGCAAGTAAGCAGTGTTCAAATTCTTAATTATTTATAGAGCATTTCCTAATTGCAGTGCATCATACCACTGCATAATTAAAATGTGAATGACATATTCTTATATAATTACAAAATTATAATATTAATGATACATCCTTATGTAATTTGCTGCATACTATAAGCATGTAATTCATTATAAATATTCTTTTTAGAAATATTATAAAGCAGTCCAAATAAACAGATAATTGCGTTG